TTCAACTTTTATCGTTAACGATAACGGCTTAAATGACTTTTTTCTCATTTATTTAGATAAGATGAACTGTACAAAAAAACATCCGCATAGATACATTTATCTAGATAAAAAAAAAACACAACATTACGGTTATCTGTTAATAGAATATTATATTCTTGTTTGTCGAATACCGAAACGACGCCCGTGTGATTGTAATGAAAAAATAACTTAATCATAAATAATTATGCATTGCGTATATGCAGTTAATAACAGAAATATTGTGTTATGGTTAGAGGTAAATATAATAATAAACACGGTTGCATGATTAATCTGTCGTGTTTAGTCGTGTAGACTTTTGCGGGGGACGTCGAGTCGCTGCCGTCGTAACCGCCGCCGCCGAAGAAAATATTATAACGGTGCACAATATTCACCGAAAATTATGGGAAATTTCCTCTAAACATCGAGGTAATTAATTTCGTAACTTTTACTCCAAAACATACACGCTGTGTGCATACATGTATATTATATGCACAGGAAAACGTATCGTATTCGCATTGTTATCGTAGTGTTTACCCAAAATTTTCGTACCTAACGAAAAAAAAACCCAAATTGTTTCAAAAAATTTACGCGCACGATAACCGGGATATACCATAAGTTACAACATTTATTTACGTACATAATTTTGTGATAAGCTGCTAATAAATATCGTAAACCGTCTACGTGAACTATACAAAGTGTTCCTCCGAGGTCCAACAAATTAAATAGCTTTTGATAGCTGTAATTATTTTATTTCATAATTTTTTTTTTTTTTTTTAACGAGATTACTATTTTTAAATAAATCAGAAATTTCGCTGTCAAAAATGTTTACTAATGACGAGTCGTACATTTTTTATGATTATATTTTCAGTGCAACTTTCAAACAACAACATTTTAGAAGCGTAAATAATCATTAATATAAATTATTAGTCATATCATCATTTTGTTTCAAAATGTTTTTATAAATTGGCTAACTTGGATTTTAAAAAACCGATTTTTTTGAAATTTAATTCTTTTTTTTTTTATTTTAAGTTTAAAATAAACAGAAAAATAAAAATATTACAAGAGAAAAAATATTATAAGTAATCAAATTTAAACATATTGAATAGAACAAAAGTTATTGTATTTTTAAGTTATCCTTGAGACATTCTGCATACTTGTTTTTTTTTTTAAATTACGCCGAATACATTATTGCCGTGTCTAAGTTTAAATACTGATAACAAATCGTTATTAATCGTGCAGTCAAACAGTTAGATTATGAAATATTTTTTAAAATACATCATTAAAATTGTGATATTTTTTATTTATTAATCTATAGAAATCAACGGAATCTTTATAAAATAAAACTCTTCACTGTATTTTAAGGTTAAAGTCATAAACTTGAATAATTGTAAAACTAACCGATGGTATTTTTTTGTTTAAAAACCACTATGTCTACATTGTTGACAATTTTTCTACAAATTTTTTTAAAAAAACTGACAATAAAATACGACGATACTTATTTGGTTTTTATTTTTATCGATTCCTGCAAAGTTATAAGGGGAATAAATAACACTATGCAATCTTACCGCGGTTTACTGAGCTCAGCTAAGATGAGTTGGTTTTTTGTTTTTATTGTAACGATTTATCGTTGCTTTATATGAAAAAATAAACACACATACGTATTCTATAATCGTCCCAGTAACATCTCACCCACAACAGTTTTTTCCCTTCCCGTAGTGTGATGTGCCTACGAATTATTTTTAAATTTTGATTTCGGAATTATAGAATGGACGATCGTTCTTTTTAATAATACAAAACGGGAAATTTTTTCGAAATAAAAACTTACATTAAAAGTTAAATGTTTGATACACAGGCGAAACTTGCTGCAAGTTCACTACTACTCTAATACATAAGTCTGTCTGAATACCTACTCTTATTATACAATTATGCATTACAAACGCGTAAAAATTAATATGCGGGCGGTTGTAATTAAAAAATCAAAAGTTTTTGACGTTTCAAAACGGTAGTGCTGGAAATTGTAATTATTATTATACAACGGAATAACCAAACGTTTTTTTTTTTCAATTCACCCGAACACACAGATCGCTCGATATAGCGTATACGGTTTTTCTTCACGCAAAACTTTATATTTATCAGAAAAACCCCAAAAACATATTCAGTTTTAATCGTAAATGTAAAATTTTAAATTCCACTATTTATATTTTTGTTTTTTAAGTACAATAAGTCGGGGGAAAAAGGCTCCGTAAATAATTCCCACCAGAGTATACGGTTTCCGGTGCTAAGAAGGAACGCATCTATTTCATGGGACCGACCCAAATTTCCCATATTTATTAACCAACCGGGTACCTGATACGTTTGATAATTTGAATAAAAACCATGGTTGTATACTTATATAACTATGATATAAACGGCGTCTCGATAATAATGATTTAAAATGATAACAAACAATATTATAAAATATTTGATAATGACAAATAATGTCAAATTCTATGAAGTGAAAACAGATTCCATTGTTTCCAATTTTAATTGACTCGAATAACTCAAATTACACTCATTATTATTATTTTTTTTTTTATGGAAATTATTTATCTATGTAAGTGACTAATGATCGATTCATAAAAACCTTTATAATGAATTGTGTTTACATTTCCATAGTAATATACTAAGTGATATTTTGAAATGCAGAATATACAACAATTATTGTGGACTACATTAGATATTATAAAAAAAAAAAAAACCTCTTAAAAGAATAAGTTCTTTTTTTGAAGGAGGACGAGGAAAGCGAACTAATTCCTTTTTAAAAGGAACATTTCCAACACTAATTGTTTTTAAACATAAGTACGCATTCTTCAGTCAGTTTTTTTACTCAAATAAATAATTTACAAAAAAAAATTATTTCGTAATTTTGGTACAACTAGGTGGTAGTGAAATCGTTTACTTTTATGTACACATTTGAACAATTCCATGTAAAACCAATACAATCAAACTAATAAATACATTATTATTTTTTACATTTAAGTAGACAAATACCTATCAGGTTAAAATCCTTCTCTATCAGAGACAGATGCAGGTGGCGAAACAATAAGAGCAATCCCTCCTCTCCAAAACATCGTAATAAATTTCGTTATAAGAAATATAATTTAAAAGATTTTAATGATATTATTTACAAATCTATACCAGATTTCAATGTTGTTGACCACTCTAAAAAAAAAAAAAATGAATGTGTTCTAAAACTTCCTTCTCTCTTTCTCTTGTTACCCTTAAAATGCGGATTTGAAGCATCACTATTCATTGTGTTTCTAACGTCCGCTTTCCTTCTCGGTAGTAAATAAAATGATCGTGAATCTTTGGTCCTGTAAAATGTGATTTACACATCTTAGTCTCAGTCTTCCTCAGCGTGATTCTTCTCTTCGACAATCCATTCTATAATGAATATTATTTCAACAGACCTTTATTTCTAATTTATATGACCAGTTCAATCGTTTTGTTTACTTTTACAGCTTTTCCATAGTGCAGTTTAGCACTTCTCCATTTGCTATTCCCTCGGCCATGTTTTATTAATTAACGTTTATTTTCTCCCCTGTTAAAGGTGAGAAGTTGGGAAGGTAGAAGGGAAATTAAATGTATATCTATACACAACGATTAATCATTGATAATGAAATACGATATTGTGCGGAGTTCGGTTACACATGTTTTAAAAGGTCATAATATTTATCATTTGAAAATAATACATTTCGTAAATTTTCCTATTTGTCAGTTTGTTAGGAAAGTTCCAGGGAAAATCAAAATATGATTTGTACCATCCCAATCATATTTACCTTCAGAAAAAGTGCTACACTTGAAAAACGGAGAAAAATTTCTGGTAGAAAAATAATTGTACACAGAAAAAAAAATAGAATAAACGTCATTATAGAACCAATACACTTCTTGCCAAGCTCAGAATTTTTGTGATTCGACCAACTCGACCTTTTTTATCAAATAAAATATAAATATAAGATATAAATACGGGATATACGGGACAAGGTTGATTAATGTGACGTCATATTATGTGATAACAATTATTCTCATCAAGTATGACTAAATCAAAATTTACGCACAAAATCGTTATGTAAAAGAGCATTAAAACAATTGTTATTATATTCAACATTTCAAGTACGCAGATAAAAATTATTTTATTTTTAATATTTCAATATTAGTTGTAAAATATTATGTGCGTTCGAAACGGAACTAGTATATTGTACGGAACCAAACGGTGCTAATATCGTCTCTATAACAGTTTATTGTTTAAAACATGTACGTTCAGAAACCGAAAACTTTGCATGTTCGCAGAATAAGGTTTTCGTGAGTTTTTTTTTTTCTCGTATTGTCGTTCAAAAAAAATCGTAAGAATTTTCGCAGCGATACGAACCGGGTAACGATAATTTTCAACAGTCGTTTTTTCGTCCGTTGTTTGTTTTGTTATAATATTTCCGTTTGTATACTCAATGCACCGACGTAGTGGGTACTACACTACTGCGAGTTTTGTATAGGAATTCGATTACTTTTTTTTTGAAAATAATGTAAACAATAATATTCCCTTCCCCTTGTCATCGTCCGTGGCAGTACACCGATGCTACTACTACCACCGCTATCGCTATACTAGTTATACTATAATAACGATGAATTAAAGTACGGAATGAATCCCATCGTAGTATTTTTCCGGGAAATACTACGGGTTGTTTTTCAAGGACGGCGAACGATAATAATAATATCGTCGAACACTGTAATGTTCCGCGAATAGCCGCCGCGCACAAGATGAATGAATAAAATACGTAATAAAAAATATAAAACCGCGTGCTTTTATTTCCCTCCCGCTTTCACTGGCAGTAAAACCAGTTTACTCCGTCATTCTGTTTTAAACACGGCAAATCCGTTTTTCCATTCATCGCTTCCGTCAGATTTATTTTCATCCGAGACCAGTCGCGTCTCTGGTTTGGCCGTCTTCAGAACAGATTCACATCGGCCGTCCACGCACGATGTTCAGCCCGATCTGTTTTCGAACTTTTCGCCAATGTTTTTTTTTTTTCTTTTGTAATTCGACGTTCTTTTTCGCGTTCGCGCGCTGTCGTCGAATGCGCGCTGTAGACGAGCGTGAAACCGCGTGGAATATCGCCGCGGTTCTCGGGAAAAACCACGCGGGACAACCTGCGGCACCCCGCTAATCCGATCGCCGAACGGTGCGTAGTGTTTTTCGTCGGGCTAACCGTCAATATTTTTGTTATTATTTTTTCGGTTTTTCGAACGGCATTCACGGCCGGTATGATATTTTGGCACGAAACGGCGGCCCGAAAAAGTTGTACGCACACGACGCAGGGTGAACGCACCCCTCGTCGATAAATATACACGGTGTGAGGGGTGAGCGCGAAATGTGAGTATGTGCAATAACGTGGCGGCGGTGGCGGTGAAGGGACGGCGTCGACGACGACGACGACGACGGCGAAGAGGGAAACGACCCTATCCCTTCGGTGGCGGCGGCGGCGGCGGGGCGGCGGGGCGGCGTCGGCGGCGGCAGTCGTCCGACACACAGGGGTTGAGAGCGCGATCGATACTCTCCTCGGCGTGGCACACGCGATTCGCCAAACCGCGCGGTCCGTCGGCGGCGGCGACGCCGATGGCGGGCGGGCGGGCGCGGTAACAGGTGTCGGCGTCGCGGGCGTGAAGCGGCGGCGGCGGTCGGCGGACTCGGTGGCGCGGACGGGACTCGGCGCTGCGTACGGGGCGCACATCGATCCCGCGGGGACGCGCACGCGCCGGCGCCGCCGCCCGTTGTGCCCACGACGACGGCCGACCGCCACCACCGGCGGCGCGCACCGACGACGACGACGCGTCGCTGCTACGCGCCGCTCGCTCTCTCGGTGCCGAGCGACTCCCGGCGCCCGCTCAACAAGTGTCTTCTGTATTGTTGTGCCCGCTAAACCGAACACAACGACCGTTGCTCGGCGCCGATCGCGGGTGCGCTCTCTTTTTTTCATTTCCATTTACCTCTTTTTCTCTCGTCTCGTTCTCCTGCACCGCCTCACATCTCCGTCGCGAAACGTCCCTTTTCCTTCCCGTTTCCCCCCGTCCTTCTACAATAGCGCTCGCTCTGCCCCTGCCCCGTCCCCGAGACCGGACACGACAGACGCAGCATCGAGCGGCGGAAGCGGCGGCGCTGCAGACGAGCCACGGCGCGGCTGGTTGACGGAACGCGGCCATCGCGTGCTGTTGTTGTGCGGCGTTGTACCGGAAGAACGAGCCCGCGGGACAGAGGCGGCTGCCATCACCGACCGAGGAGTGCGCATCGGACGACGCCTGCGACGATCCACGGCAGGTAAATTCGGGGCGCGCTGCGCCGGCGACGGCAACGGCGTCCGCGCTGCGATAGCTGCGGCGGCGGCGGCGATGGCGACGACACGACGAGGTGGCGCATTGCGGCGAGCACACGCGACAAACAAGTGGTCGTCGCGCCGTGTCTCTCCACGGCCGCCGCCACCGTTGCCGTCGCAGTAAGTATACGCGCGCGATGTACACACACTCGCGCACGCACGTACACTTTCGAAAAATGTCCGCGCGTATACGTACCGCCGCCGTGCCGCGGAGTACGTACGGATAATACGGCCACCGCCGCGGACATGCATTGATTTTGACACGCGCGCGCACGCACGCCCATCGCACATGCTACGGCGATAATTATGGTCATTGTACAGGGCGCGCGCCCGCCCGCGCGCGCGCGCGTTGTGTGTGTGTTTGTGTGTGTGTGTGTGTGTGTGTGTGTGTGTGCGTGTGCGCGCGTGTGGTGCGGGGGTGATTGTGCGGGTGACGGCGGATGAGCCGCGAACTTTTGAGATGTTCTCGGGCCGTCGCGACGTCTCGTCGCGGTCGCGTTTCGCGCGGCCGGCCGCAGGGCGGAACCGGACGTCCGTGACGCGGCGGTGCGCCCTACGCCCCCGCGCCTAATGCGCCCTTGTCCATTCCCTCGTCACGGCGATGGCGCATATTATATTATCGTCGTACCCAGGTACGTCACGACGACGACGAGGCGGGTTCACCATCATTGATGCCGTCGTGCACACATTTTACGTTACGGGGCATTATTGTTATTCCGTTACAGTGCCTGCATTCGTAGTTTGTAATTGCATTATTATTTTAACGCGTGTAACGAACGTTCCCGTGCCAGGTGCGAAACGCGAGACCAGAGCCGACGGGGACGAAAAAACCGAAATCGTATTATGAACTTCTGCGACAAAAGAACTCGCGTGCGTTCCGCCGCCGCTACACAGAGTAGTCGACTTTTCCGCGACCGATGCCGCGCAATAGAAATTCGAACCTTTCCGAAAGGGCGCCGCGCGTTTTCCACGCGAACGAAATAACTCGTACGAAATATCACCCCACCCACCCCCCCCTCCGTTAGGGTGTCTGTGTGTAAAACGCCGAAAATCCTATTGAAACTCTACCCGACTTCCGACGACACTTAAACCCACTCGATAAAACGCGATCGAGTTTGAGCTCGTTCGGCGCTCAAGACGACGGCGAAACCGCTACAGAAGATATTATTAACGCGATACGACACGGTAGTGGCAGTTTTTACAGGGGGAGTTTAATGGAGTTTGAAGAAAAACGAAACCCAGGAGACCCGCGCGATGAAATTTCGTTTTCGCCGATGCGTCGCGCGAACGTACGTGAAATCGTACTGAACCGGCGGCGTGGCCGGACACCCGGGGCCCGCGAGCCGTTTTCGTTTTATCTCGGCCTTCGGAAAACGATTTCGTTTTTCAAGGTTACAATGTCGGGGCTCGCGAACCTTATAAAAAGCTCGGGCCACGCCGGTACGTACCGTGCAACAGCGACAATATGTAACCGTTGCCGCTATCGTTCGTAATTATTATCGTACAACACGTAATTGTCACGGGGTACATTCGTTAGCGCGACGGATACGAAAAAAACGCGGCGAAAAAGTCCATGCGAGGATTCGGGTAGTCGTCCCGCAGCGAAACGCCGTCACCGCCGCAGCCACCGCCACCGTCGCGCCGCGGCGATTTTCTCAATCAACGGCCGTGCGCGACGTGACTTTTCGAGGTCGACCGCCACCGCCCGACGTATTTCCGCGTAAACTCTCCTCTTAGACTCGTTTAAATATTCCAGCAGTTTGCTATATGCATGTGTTGTGGTATAAAATTTATTTTCGCCTGCCGCGCTCGCACCCGGCAATAAACTTCGGGGTTTGAAGTTTAATTTTTCGGTTCGGATCGATATCCCCGGACGGAAACGTCGAGATTATCCGTTTCGGTAAACCGCTTTTGTCGGGCGGTATCGCACGAGCATCGACGAAGGAAAATATAATTTCTACGGTCGGATTTAAATTTTTAGATATAACGAAAACGGAGCTATTATTATGTTTTATTTTTACGGTTAGATTTCCAGACGCTTTCTAGTATCTTATATAATGCAATATAACGTTCGCTCATCAAATTTCTAAATTTCCAGCCAGTTTTTCTATAAAATCTAAATTAGCTCGCAACAAATGTCCACGTATGGGATTTGGTTGTTGTTGGTTTCTACTCCGTATTGATCGCGAGAGAAAAACACGACTAATTTAATCGTTCTACTAACACTTCTCCGATCAGAACAGTTTTACGATTCGTCGTTGCGTTCAGCATACAAATTACATTACTCTGTATCCAATAATTTTCGCATTCAGTATTCACTACGGTCTTTCCATTTATCTATTTATTTGATCAAGTTTTATTAATAAAATGTTTTGAAAATATATCTGTATTGACTCCTTGAGCCGTGACTCCTCGAAAACATAGGTGACACGTCTCTGGGTAAAAATTTGCACGAAAACGAACACGTGTCAATAAATCGAATGATGTTCATTTTACGAGAAAAAATTCAGCGAAACGTAGGGAAACTGCGAATGTTTTCGGCGTTACTGATTTGACAATTTTCGGTGTTGTTTTTTGTTGGTAAACAAACAAAAAAATGTATTTGTATTCAGTTTTAAAGTTATTTTTTTTTATGTATACACATAATTTTTGAGTAACTCGAGACTAACCTTATTCGGTTAGTAAAAACGCTCTAAAACTTTCGTACCCTTCTTAAAATCGATGCGCATATATTCCGATCCCGGCGGTTGTTTATGCAAAGCATTTTAGTATAGATTCCCTACAGTTTTTCTAAAAAAAAAATTTTGAGAAAATAACGGCGATAATATTAATGATGATACGTCAGTTTTCGTATCCATTATTCACCTGCAGAGAACACAGAAATCTGAAATTTATTGAACCTATACTTGCTTTAATTTACAAAACTCGTGTGAGTTTCTCGTATCCTTGCAATATAAATTGCATCCCCGTTTTCTTAAGTCATGATGATATTCACGTGAAAATACTGTATTCTCGTGTAGTTAGGTTCATGGTTTTTTTAGTCTCAGAGCGTATTTCAATTTCAATTTTTATTATAAAATAATCGTTAACAGTATTTAATTGGTCGAGCTACTTATTTCCGGCGTTATAATTTAATTATTATTTTTTTCTTTTATTTTTATTCATTTAACTAGTTGAGAGTTACCGAGAGATTTGCCTATAACCCTGCCATAATAACTTGACTTTTAACCGTTTTACAATTAGTTACCGCCCGGCGTTGCGTATCTCGTCGGCGTTTTATTTCCGTTTTTTTTTTATTATTACGGAATTGTCGTATTCACAGCGCGAAACTTGATAATATTATTGTGTACGACACGCGCGTCCGAGGCACACGTATAGGGGAGCGGTCGCACGAGAAACGCAATATCATCGAGGACTTTGCGGGCACGAGTTTGATTTGACTACCGCCGCCGCCGGTGCCGCACCAGACCCTCTTTTTCTTTTTTTCCTTTTACCTCCCCCGAAACGTTTCCTGCGCGAAAGGCACGTTCGCACCGGGGCCGCTGCAACAATGCGGCTACGTGAATCAACACGCTGCCGCCCCGCCGAGACCGAAATAAAATATAAAATATCCCTCCGCGTTTAATAATACGTGTACTACTCGTATATATTTCGCCGGCGATGTTTAAATTTTATCGAGCATTATTTTTTTCGCGAACGGAATAAACCCGCCGAGCTCGCACCGCTGTACGCGTAGTCGTGCACAAGTGGTCCGAATTTAAATTTCAGCGAATATCGTAACGATTCTGAACGGAGTTTAGCGGACTGTTGAGGTTATGTTATAGTATGCGTCGCGGTGTCGCCCTCTGGTTTCTAGTAAAGCCAACGTAAAATAGAAATCGAACATCGGAAATTTAAAGTTTTCCTAAAAAAGCCTTTGATGGAAATTTTTTTTTTTCTTTATAGTTCGACGTGATGAAATTGGAAAATGTTAACTCATTCAATAAGTAATTCCGGAGGAGTGGAAAAACGCACGTGTTAGCTACGTTCAGAATCCAAAACTAAACTATAACAACACGTTATTGATTCGGATTTAAATATCTTATTATCTTATTAATTATAAACGATTATACCGTTTCGTTTGCTCTCGTACACAATCGTTATTCCATTGAGTCATATAGACAAATAACACTATGAGGGTGTACCATTAGGCATTATAATATTTTTTAACGTACGAGTTTAGTGGAGTTAGTAAAAATTACACGTTTTCTAGTGGATCACTAAACTTATGTTTTGTGTTTTTTCTCAGTTTCGACATTTAGTTGGATTTTTTCACAACCGTCCGTGAAACTCGCCTGAGTCATTATAAAATAACCGTTTTTAGTTACGCGAAGTCGAGAATTTACTTTTTACGCGCGCGTTCCCGGAACGCGCTGTCCAGTCCGGAAGAAATGGGTTTCAAACTAAAAGCATTTCTCGAATTAATCTTTATTATTCATTATTTTTTAAGACTTCGAAAAAACAAAAAAAATAATAAGAAATAAAACCGACTGCTGTAAATAAACGTAAATTACTAGTAGTTTCACCGAGTTTTTTTTTTCGATACGATTTTTGTTTTTTGTACACTGCAGAGCGGCGATAATACGCGATCAATTTTCCAATCGAATTAAAACCGTTTCGCCTTTAAATGTACCGAAAAATGTACTCGATATATAAAACACGGAAAACAATAATAAAATTGCACAAACCGTTTCCGTCTGTACTGTATTCTACACGGGTACGATATTATAATGGCGTTGTATTAGCCTTGAACTTTTAACGCAAAGGTCACGTTAAAAACGTATAACATTATATAATACGGGCGGCCGACTGCGACGGAAACGACGACCGGCGGAAAAATAATAATATTTTCGTCGATCGCCGTTGACGTTTTCGCCGTAAATCTCGACGCGACGCTCGCGTTGATCGCTACCCCGTATCGTGACGTCATCGCGCCGTCATTCGATATATTCGCCGAAGACTTCTGCCGCCGTTTGTTGTGTAAACAGAGAGAGAGAGAGAGAGAGAGAGAGAAAATAATATTTCCGTAGAATTTTCCCCGAAAATATATTATTGCGCCGTACTGTGTACACCGGCACAGTATCCGTACAGTTCGGTTTCGCGAAAACGGCAACGGGGAAATATTAAATTTCCAACCGTATGCGCTCCGGATCGAAATAGGATGTTTTTTTTTTTTTTTCTCCCTGGCGAAACGGAGGGATCCGAGAACACACCCGCGTTTCGAGACCATTTTTCAAAGGACCTCACGCGTGCGCAATAAAATTTACAATATTTCCTATTCGGAACGATACTCGTTTTTCAACACCGTATACGAATAGTCCTTTTCGAGAGGGACCTTCGCTTACAAAACGTTCTTCCGACTCGAAACGTTAATAATATATAAAATATATCTAAAACTATCAATAGTATCAAAAAAAAAAAAAAAAGGTTTAATCAGTTTTAATCGTTGACATTATAAATATTATTTTGTTAATTCCGACACGATGCTAATTTAAATAGATACTATATTGTTGAGAATTTAAAATTAATCCAGTGCTATATTATTCAGCAGTATAAAAAAAGTTCGAAAAAGAAATTATAAAACGACTTATGAATATTCAGAAAAAAATGATATTTTCAATAATTTATACTCATGTTTGTGAAACGTTTATGTTTGCATAGAATTTCGCTGGAAATATCACGCTATAATTGCACACACTTATCAAAAACACCTTGTGCATTTTTCCCTGCTCGTTTTGAGCAGTTCTTTCTGAACTAGAAGACGGTATAATTGTACGTTTACAAAGATTTTGGTTTTATTATGTTTGTTTTTTTTTTTTTTACATAATAAAAAAACAAAGAATATCCAATCTCTAAACCGTACGAACGAAAATTTCAAGTCTTGTGATTAAGCTCTGATGCGTACGGGTATTTATTTTTTATAATTTTTTTTTTTTTTTTTAATTTTCATATATACTACAGCAAAACGTTTTCAGGATTTCCATTACGTGGTGATACATTGTTTTTCATATAAAGACTATTGTGTTGACGACGGTGACATTGAAAGTTACAGATATTATTATTTTGGTTTATTTTTCTTTAGCCATATTGTGTGTTTGTTTATTTTCTTTAATTCACGACGTGTATCATTTTTTTTTAATTTGTCTAGTATATTGTATTATTGCTTTCCGAGATTTGTTCATTTAATCTGTTTGCAAACAATACTTCATGAACTACGTGTATCGAGCAGAGTGGCTTTATCGAAATAAAAATCCCACACCCGTTTTCAAAGCTCGCCAAAAACCCAAGCAGCTCTTGCTTGTTATTATTGTATTCGCATTTCGAACGTATAAAATCGTGCACTCAAAAGGCGAGTGCAGTTAATACACCCAAAATAGAACGTTGCGGCAATTTGGACGTGTTGTTGTTTTAGCGACGTGTTACGCTATAACATAGAGATTCCACACATGTTACAATTAATACCGAAAAAGTCATTATTTCTTTCTGGTTTTAAACTCGAAACACGAAATAAAAAGCATACAAATGCAATATTCAAACAAAACCAACTAATATTGCACCGGATGAGTTGCGCTAAATGATTATAAAATGTTGAAATTACAAACATAAATGTCAGAACTAGATTCCCGTTTAATGTACTTGTAATTTCGGATGTTAGCGTGTTATTCCAGGGAGACGGGCAAGTTAAAAAAAGTAAAATAACGGGGAATCATTTAACGAAAACACCGAGTGAAAATTTAATTAGTGTAATGTTGTTTTTACCTTATTACTTTAAAAATATAATATACTCGGTATTTGTGTCTCATGCAACTTTCAGGTTTGTTTTTCTTCGATTGTTTTATTTTCTAATATGCAAAGTAGCATCTTTTTGGTCGAATTAATTGAAGTGACGGACGGTAAATGGGATGATGAAATATCCATCGCCGTATTCCGTCTGAAGTATTACCGTTTCCGGTATTACGATCGGTAAAGCTTACGTTTTATTTCATCGTTTTTTTGTATCGTGCATTCTGTTTTTCTATATTTTCAGCGACGTTCTCTCGAAATATATCCGCGAAACACTACAAACGTGAACACATAAAATTTACACGACAATCGTTTTTTCCCTCCAAACAAATCGATATTGCTCGTATTTCCCGTATATATATTGTCTGCACTTTGGCGGGCACTTTTAGAATCTGAGAAGAGCGCGTGGAGACAAGCTATATTAGCTTTACACAATAGGATATTGTGCGTTTTTTTTCGTTCGAGGCAATAAAAACGCACGAAACATTTCATTGGTGGCCTTTTGTAAATAAATATATTTAGACATTTGTACGCGGTGGATCTATATGTAATAAAAATAAGCCACTTTCACATATTATTTGCCAATTGATAAACTTTGAATAAATCGCAAAATATCTAAAATAAAATAAAAAAAATTTCAAAATTAAATTCTTCAAAGCTGAACGCAATGAATTATCGTTGTTTTCGATATTATTTAAATTAAAAATACCTCTTCAGTCTAATATATGATGCCGTCTTTCCATACCGGCATTTTTTTTTTTTTTCAATATTACCGTCTTCACATCCGATCGGTTGACATCCTGTTAGATCGAAAATATTTCAATTTTCAAAGTCTCCTCTGCTTCCTTTTCTTATTTAAAATAGGTTTAAAGGGTCTAGACTGTTTTAAATAACCATAAAGAGATTAAAATTAACGTAATATTTTCAAAAAGGTTACCACGTTTATAGAAGGCTAAGAATAATATTAAATTGACTTCCCCATTTCACTAAATACAGGGTGCCCTATTAATATATACCTGTTCCGATATCTCTGAACCTATTGACTTTTTTACTTTTAAACAATTCCGAAAAAATGTATACTTTATAAAACTCCGTAGTTCCAAAAATAAACAAAAAAAAAAAAGGTTTCGTTTCAGTTTTTAATCGAGTCCAAAATTCTAACAAAAAAGTTGTTTACAAAGAGTATATAATAATTATAAACATACATCATAGTTAAGCCAATTCATTTCTCGTTATGTTCAAAATCTAAAACAGTTAAAACAATTTTCACTATAACCTATAAATGTAGTTAATACTAGTATATAACGCTACTAAAAGGCTATATTGTATTAACACGTTTACGATTCTAGATATTTGTGTTCGAAGTCATTATTTAAGAGAATTGATACGAATATTTTATATAAATATTTTAATATTATAAATAATTTTATATATGGTACGTTAGATGTTTATTCAGTGCAGGTCATTTAACAGCGTGATATATTTCTATTTTTTTTTTTTTGTGAGACTCTATAAAAAAAAAAAAAATATGTAATTTTAAACAGAAAACAGAATGTCGATGAACACTTTATACAGGGTGAACGAAAATTAGTGTCGGAAAATATACGGAGAAGCCTTACGAACTTTAAAATCCTCCGAATTTCCGATCACCTTGTAAGTGAGCGTATTTTATGTGAGTTTTTTTTTATTTTTTTTTCGTAATGGAAATATATAACAATGGTATGACCCAATGGTATGGAATAATTCGAATAAATAATGTAAAATATGATAATAATATTCTATCCGGACGAAAACTCGGACGGGATAATTAAACTGTTGACCAGTGAAACGTAGCTAATTCGTATACGAAATCGTTTTCTTTCGTTTTTCAGATTCCTTTTTTTTTTTTTGTTTTACGTTCCTTAATGGCAGTGGTGGCGCGGTAGCGACGGCGGTTCGTGATACTGTAAAAGTTTCCGATAAAATGAATTTCGAAAATTTGTACCATCACACTAAACATAGGTACCGAATAATTAGTATTCAGAACGAGTACGACGAAATACTGTCGTATTTGTGCGCGTGCGAAACGGATATGTATTATAGATGCCGGTTATGACTATAGACACGATAGGATATTGATGAACTGAAAGAATATCGAAAATGACAGATTAAATATTTTAAAATAATTAATAAAACGAGTAATTTTAAAGTTATTAAAAAACGCATGTTTACTTATTTGAAAACGCTTTGCTACAGAAAGCCTAGTGATTTATATGAATTGGGTTATTTTTACGTGTTGGTATATAAAATATGTGTTTGATTTGTATTTTGCTTAAATTTCTTAAAAAGTAAACAAGTAATTAATATTACCTATACGCAAGATTTTTGAAAATAAAATTTTATAATATTCAACAAAATTGTTACTTGTTAATTTCTATAAATATATTGTCGTTTGAACACTAGAAATTTAAAATAAGATTTTCCAAATTTCCAAGCATAAAAGTTATTTTTAAAAATATTTATGATCACACATTAAAGATCAAAATCGAATTGCTTTGGGTGGCAAAAAAGTTTTTCCTGTACAGCATGTATTAGAACCAAAATATTTGTTAAAACGGCAAGCCTTATAAAACAAGATAATACTATAGAAACTGAATTTCTTCATAAAATCTAAAATGTATTATTTTTTATTGTATCTGTTGCACTGAAGTACAATTCAAATATGTCTGGTTTTTCATACAAAAACTGCTCTTTTGGTAACTAAACAACAGTAACAATTTTCTATAAAATTTGAACGTAAAGGAAAATCGTCTAAAAAGACCTATAAAAATTAAAAAAAAGGACAGACATACTTCGCACGTGGTTGCAACTACTGTTTTAGGTGATTTTAAGAGGTAAGATACAGACGAGAATTTAATGTATGTCTGTAAGCAACGATAAATCATGGTTAAAAAAAAAAATGGTACTAAACGGAGTCCAGTTAATAGTGTTGCTTTTTAAACAAAATACATATCATGTTGTGGTAAAATGATGACGACAATGTGTGATTCCAAGCTAATAATGATTATTTAAAAAAAAATTAATTTATAAAAACTTAAAAATAACAAAAATTTAATAAAAATGGTTACCAATAACAGCCTTATTTTTAATCTTTCAATATTATTTTAACCTAAAAAACCCGGTTTTCCTCATTATCTTGAATATAAATGAGAAATTCAAAAAAAGTTACCTCTTTAATATACCACCCAGAAAACATTTCTTTTCAGAAAAAGTATTCTACTTGATAATTGGAATAAGTTATCCGGTAGTAAAAAATGTTTTCTTTAAAAAATTAAATAAACCTCATTGTAATACCAATATATTCTTCGTTAAACTCAGAATCTAAAAAAATACTTTCAAAAACAAATAAAGTGTAAAAAAAGGCATAGTTATAAATGCGAATACAATACTGAATTGATGAAAAGTAAAATAAGTCTTTTAAACTAAGATAGCTTTTTAATGGGAGGTATGGAACACATATCATCAACATTCGAAAGCCCAATAATTATAATGCATAATACTTTATGATATATTCATTCGGATACTGATTTTGTCAATTTGCGTTTACGTGTTCCAGGTCCAACGAAGAGGACGTTCTATTTTGACTTCATAACCTTCTGTTTGCTGTCATCGTGATGAATCGACACCTGCATCATCCGAAACGGACATTATACTTCTGAAATTTTTCTTCGGGATCAGTGAATACACCCAGTGAAACACGTGCAAGACGTCGAGCGAAGATCGCAGGGAAAAAGTATAGCAAGAAAAAAATACACCGAGACACAGACCTACGCGTCATACACGAAGCTCAATTTAAAAAAAAAACCAAATCTTCCGAAGTTATAAAAACAAAAATACTAATCGCACATCACACACACACTCATAAACATATACAAACATAAATACACACTCATACAAACATAAACGAAACGTTATAGCAATAAACGTTTTAGGGAAATCGACGGGTTCATATTTCGAACGAAAAGCAATATTTAAAACAATTATCAAAATTTATAATATAACGCGTATTTTTAGCACAGTTCCTGTTTTGTCTAACATAATATAAATTTAGTGCTCAAGTTATATATTATATACGATTTTTTAACAGTAGGCATATAGTCGCCCGATTTGTATTTGTATTTTTTTTTTTTTTTTTTATCTTTATAATATATAATATATAACCGTAAAATACTATCGCCATCATGCCCCGATGCTATATGGTGAAAAAACTGGGACCAAAATCGATGCATCAACATTCGTCAGCGACCGTCACGACGATGGACCTGGACCTGGATGGTAGTTCCAGATCCGGGACTGAATCCCCGCCACCGTTCACGGATCCGACTTCGGTGAAACTCTACAAGCCGCTAGAATCCGTCACCATGTCCAAACATAAAAGTAAGTGAATCCGTTTTGTTTTTTCTAAAAAAAAAAAAAGCTTTTTGTCTCCTCGCACCCAGCAGTTTTTGTGAATTATAAAACAGCATAACTGTATTATTGTTATGGTCTTGTTTTTTTTTCTCCTGGCGTTTCATACTCTCCGAGTGGTTTTCTCCACCATTCATATTTTCTTCCACTTTACACGTTATTGAGCAACTTATAAACTCTATTTTACACTTGGTTTATTCAAGATCTTGTTCCACTACATCTAGATGCAAAGATATCTATTCTTCCATCTGTCTATTTTAAAACCCCTATAATTTTTGTCTGTTGGTTTAAAATTTACAATAATTTCTTTGTGTTTTTATTTTACACGATTCAGTAAGATGTACTATAATTATTTAAAAAATAAGTTTTGTAACATTTTGCGATATGACAAAAATCTCTGTCGTTAAAATAAATACATAGATTCAGTTCAAAAAAAAAAAAGTTACTTATGCTATCCATACGTACGGTACAAAGGCAAGCGCTTTAATAAAGGCCCACCGACAACCCTTAAATTTTGAATTTATTTAATTTAAGATATAACCAAATATTTTACTTGTGATTGTCAAAACCATCACAAACAATGACAGGAGTTGTTTTTTTAAGTGTTGACCTTAATGTCACGTCGACAACACGAGTTATATTATTTACTATTTTTGTAAAGTGAATTTCTCTTCCTCAAACGCAATATCCAGTGTCTTTCATGGAAAATTGTCTCTCCGTAGTTTACGTATATAAATTCGTCCGTTGTCACGTACTACGTGAAAAACAGTTTAAATCATATTTATTTTTTTCTAAAATTAAGACTGTTCCCTTTTTTTTTATAAAAATGGCCAAAATTTGAAAAAAAAAGAACAGCAGCAATATATGCAGTCCACATGGAAATTTACAAACTATCGTCCCACAGAAACGAAACACTGAACGGCGAGCACCGAACGCATTAGTGTAGTAAAATAGCATGCTCTAAGCGCCGTGTTCTAATATTTCATAAAATAGTAGGTAATTCAGTGATTTATAAAATATTTAAGCACTTTTAGTATTATTACGGTAACAATAACCGTATTAAAGCCTTTTTCAAAATATCAACAATAGATACGAATTTACACACACAATACGATAAATTAATATTGTTACGATTTTTTTCAAAAATAAAAAAAAAAAATCATATTTTTTACTCTCTCGCATATACGTATTGTGTAAAATAAATTTATTTTCGACCAAACGTATTTATTTCGATAATACATTTTAAAATTTCAACGATATTTCTACTGTAGCGAATCATGGTGGGTTTTTTTTTTTTTTATAACGACGATGGACATTATGAATAATTTTAAATTCCCCTACGATGAATAATTACATAAAAATTAAAGCAAATACTACTTATGGGAAAGCGACAATTTTACGCGGGAAGATCGAAAAATAAGATGTAAAGAGTTATTTAATTTAAATCCGTGTTTAACGATATATTATTGATCGAGAAATATGATTCAATAAATACAGTTTAATTAAATAAGTTTTTAATTTCCGTGATTTCTACGCTGTACGTCAAAGAATCTACTACGTTTAATTCAATTTTGTTAAAACCATAAAGTACAAATTTATTTATGATGAGTGCCGCATACCATTTTAAAACGTTCAGCAACTTTTCCAATATAAATTTAAATAAAAACTAAAAAAAAAAACCTCAATAACGTCAAATGCGTACAAATAGCTCAACGATTTCACCGCATCTATAAAAGATAAAAAGAAATATCAGTGTTCCGTGGAAATTACAAGTTTCTGTGATTATTTCTAACCGAAGTAAACAACAAACAATCTAAATCGAAAGTTATGAAACCATTATTTACATAAACCCTCTCGTTTTTTCTATATTTTTATTGAATTTTTCCAGCGATTTAGAAAAATGCAAGGAAAATAATAAAAATATGTTCTTAATGTATTAACTAGATTTGAAATCCTACAAAATGCTGTCATTTTTTAATTAGTGCAATATTTCTTGTAAAGGAGTTTTTAATGGAATCAAAAAAAAAAAACAAACACGTAGTTGCACTAACACATTTTTCGCTAAGCTAAGAATATAAAAATTATTTATACTTACTGGTTAAGATTAATGTAATTTATGACACTCATTATCATCGAAAGTATCCGGATTTTTTTTGTTTTAAATTTTAAAAAAACAAGAATATTTAAAATACTGTATTATCCTTACCTTTCGTCACCCTTTTTGTGTGAGCGCAGAACCACCATCACATTTTGATTTTAAATTGGCAATCTATATTATGCATTTGCTTAAATAGATGAAAATTTAGTTTAAAACATATTTAGTATTGGCGTTTTTATTTTGCGTCGGTACTATAACCATACGGACAGTGACGGAAAAGAAAAATTATCCAATATCAGGGTAAATACCTTTGAGAAGACCTTATTGAGGGGAGGGCAGGACTGTGATATGCACCTTCGAATATGTATTGGGAAGACGTAGTAAAAAAAGTGACAACGGACGGGTCACAAAAAGAATCGAATACAAGGACTCCTATACGGTAATTTTAAGATGAAGGACAAAATGAAATTAGAATCCAATACCGATTTGTTGCATATTTATTCTTGGTTGGTATTTCTTGAAAAAAAGAATGCGGAAGAAAGGGTAGTACGTAATTGTGCAAACATTAACTTAGTGATAAGCAAAAGTCTATGGTTATCGACAAAAATGTATAGAGTTTGATAACATTTATTTTGACGGATTCGAAGCAAACGAAATATTGTTTTTTTTTTTTTTTTCGGACACTTTATTATTATGGAGGGGGGAGAAATTTCCCCTTATCGCTCTCCCCCCCCTCCTCCTCTCCGCCTCAACGGGTGCCGACGGTCGAGTATCGATAGCGACGGCGTCGGCGAACGGCGATAATCGGTCCTGTCAGCGGCCGAACAAACAACCCGAATGCTAATTCGATAAATTACGGATAATAATACCGAAACGGCCGTACGATATTCCACGGGCGGCGGAACTCGTGCGCGATAAACCGTTTTCGTTTTTAAAATTGGATTCGGGTAACGAACGCGGCGTGTAACGAACGCGCGCGATTTTCCCGGAAAACCGTTTCGGGTCCCGACGCGGCGTCATGTACGTGCGGATACGTGACTGTCGGGTTTAAATCAATTGCACGCGCGCCGCGCCGCGGCACTTGTCGGCTACCGTTTTTATTATTAAATCGGAAATTAAAGTAACGCGCGCGGCCTTTATATTCCGGCGATAACCCCCGCCGCCGCCGCCGCCGCCGCCGCCGTCTCGCCGTACGCCCCGGGCGATTTCCCGTTCGGCAGGCAAACGATTACCGTGTACGCGGAACGTACGCTCGACCGTACACGGACTTTGGCGTTTTTTTTTTTTTTTATCCGTCGCGCAAACCCGTAACGGTATCGAAGCGCGGGTTTTCACAATATCGTATTCCGCGTGGCGTAGTTTAAACAACAAGAACGACTTTATCGCACGTGTGATAAAATATTTAAAATGCTTTCTGTGCAAACCGACGTTTTTGATTTTTAAAGGTAACGTGTTAAATTCTCAGTTAAGCGATGAACGTATTGTAACTTTACTATATTATGTTTTGGTTTTTTTTTTTTTTTTTCATATCCTATTATTCAAGAATAACGATTCAATATTAACGTATAAATCAGTGACACATTAGGGATTTTTTCGCGGTAAGGTGACCACCTAAATTTAAATAGCTCATCTTCACCGATTTAAATGATTGCCTGAACCATCGTCCGGCATTTGATTGATTATAAAACGCATATCATAATAAACACGTAGAACAAATCGTATGCAAGTTTCTTAATATCAAACGTTGTAACAAGAAAATAAGGAATATGACAAAAAGGAATGTTTTATTTTTTGTGTATGAGTACAAAAAAAAACATTGATTTTTAATACATTTTAAACGATTTATCGATTCAATATAAGAGTAAATAAAAAAAAAAAACACTGGATACTGAAATAGAAAAAAAAGACTGCTACTCTTGATAGATGTATCAAACACAATTTACATTAAATTTCTATATTACAGTTTTAAGAATTTTCGTTTGGCGATACGATTTTATCTATATGCAAAACTCGAAAATGTCAAATACATATGAATATCTCAGAAATTAATTACGTTGTATTAAACAATTGATCATATTTAGAAAATCTATCTAAAAAATTTTGCCGGAGAACTGGAATTTCCAAACTGCTCCGGTATTACGCGTACATTTATCGTAACAAAATAATTACAGATCCGACGCAGAAAAAATTCGTGTCATACCTTACTTTTCAAAATAACAAGTTCTATTTAATCAATCAAAACTATCGGAGTTGGGATTATACGTTTTAAACATAATATGTCTACGTGAATTGTTGTTAAACGAATTTTATCTAGTTTATCGAATTTTATCAATTTTGTTTGTAAAAATTTAACCGAATATGCGATATGAATATGGCGCATTTTGTGTAATTGTGAATTTGTGTTGTGAAAAACCGTAATCGTTTGGGAGTTTTCTTTATTTTAAAACTGGAGCCGGTCGGGAATTCGCCTTTTTTTTTAGGAGCCGTTTAGGAAAAACGCGAGCCGAATGGGCTGCGTCGAAAAAATCGCCCGTAAATACGGTCCGAAGAGAAGTGGCGGGTCACCTAAAACAACGTTCATGGTTACGTCTGAATGCAACAACCGAAACGAATATTATTCAAAACTCGACATTTCCGCAATGAAAGAATCGCTACTGCACTCGCGTCGCGAGATATATTTTTTTGCGATTTCGCCGCGGCGGTCGTTTTCGTCGACAATATTATTACGTTATCGCCGTTAAGAATATAAATCAACGCCGGTGATAGTAATAATAACGATAAAGATAAAACGCTGCCGAACCGTACCCGCGTTATTATAATAATAATAATAATAATAACATATTATTATCGTTATATACCGTCCGGGGCGATCGCGATACGGATAGTCCGCGTACACTCGCGCGGTGTTAAACGAACCGACCGAAAATTACACCGCCATAATATTATTATAACACACAACACGCGAATATTATTACGCGTCCGCCATTATCTCTGTATCACTGTATACGTGTACGCTGTAATGCTATTGAATTATGCAAGAACGGGGAGAAAAATAATAAAAAAAAAAAAAAAAAAATCGACGTGAAATATTATATAATAATAATATCCGAACGCTAATCTAACGATCGCCTGATCGGCGGCCGGGGGGCGACGGCAGGAAATCGGACTGTGTCATGAACGGCGCGGGGCCACGGGAAGCACGCGAATTTCGTTTACATTTGTAACGCCGCGCGTAACGATCGCCGCGACCCTCCCCCGGCACCCATATCCGGAACCCGGTGCAACACCAAATAGGTACCTATAAAAAAAAATTACGGTACACGGCTAATAAAAAATACATTTTTAGTCGACTTAGCTCGCGTCGGCGTAGGCGATCGAGGATCAAACGAAAACGATTAATTCGATTGAGTCATGGACCACGGTAAATTAACCGAGTAAAAACCGGTCGGTTAAAAGTTCAAAAACAATCGATTATACTAGTCGAGTCGAAAACTAAAACGCGAAACATACGTTGACTCGGTTAACACGTTGATGGCAGTTTTACGTCCCACACGACTGCTATAATAGCATTCATCTATTATTGCAACCACTATTGCAAGAAGTCAAACCGATAACCGACCAAAAATTTCATAGGAACTTTTCTGTTACGTTTTTGATGTATTTATTGTATTAATTAAGCAATTTTTATATTTTCTCAATAACTGGGGAAAACTGTCTGTATAATGTCTGGGTTATCGTGATAACAAACGAAAAAATATGATTAATAACTTTGAATAACTACTCTCCTCCAAAAACTCATTAACAACGGTTTATCGTTGCGTACAAATAGAAATAAAATTACTCTATACAATTTCCATCCAAAGGTCGGTACAAAGACAAAGGAACGGAAAATAACTAAAATCAAAGAACTAGAATCACTGTATTAGAAACCCGACGCGTCATAGATGCCGTCAAAAGTAATAGTTACAATGAGCAGGGCACGTCTCGAAAAATTAAAACCCCCATTACTTCGTACAGTGCAGAAATTGAATTCGACAGGGAAAATACCTCTTTGAAAACCCGAAATTCCTAAAAAACCTATTCACGGAAGACGACGTGTGAAGAAATTGGAGGAAAATTATTTAGAAAACAAGATAAAAATATCTGGTTGTATGGCGAAATCGGTTTTAGAAGATTAAAATAAATGTTTACAAATGTACAATTAAATATTAACTCGCTGTTAAAAATCCTAAAATGATATATTTATCAAAGTTATCATTATATAACATATGCAAATATATAATATATAATTTTTTTTTTTTTTTTAACATTTCTATAGTTAATTGAATTTGCCGTTAACTTTGGTTATTTTTTAAATATTAAACTCCACTCGGTGTATTTTAACAGTTTTAAGACAGTCGGTTTATTATTAATCATTTCCTTGACGATCGGTTATTGTTATTTTTATTTTTATTCAAATTATTTTTTGTGAAAACTGTCCGGCCCTAAAAATGTTCGATGCGGATAAAATAATTTCCAAACACCTGACTAATGTTTATCGTTGTGAAAACAGTATTCCATTCGGTAAACGTTTTAACACGCGTTTAAATCAACAACTCGTGTATAGTAGTATAAACTATTATTGTTTATGTGTCTGGTCAGGCCTTTTAGATTTAATCTGCTGTCTGGGCGTCGTCTTCGAACGAAATTCCGATCCTAGACGCCATTTATTTCCGTGACAAACGACTCGTGCGCGTATTTTGTTTGCGAATTTCGAATTGTTTTCACCCGTCGACGGCGTATTAACTAGATACCCAAAATGTTGATCCGCGTTTTATTTCAATCATTTTATCGTCGGATCGTTAAATTTCCAGTTTTTCAACGCACGGTCAATCCTATACAGTCCTATTATTTTATTTATGAAAATACAGATACGCAACAGCGTTACGTGGTTGACGAAAAAATTAAGATGATTTATACATTTTTTTTTTTTTTGTTTCGATAAAAAATACCCAATATTGTAGAATATAATTTAGATGTTCGTTTTTTTTTTTCCTTGATTCACTTGTCCAGCCGATGAGTCTGCGAGCGTGTTATTTATACGATAATAACCACGGTGATAATAATTATTCTGGACACTGTTGTAGCGGTACTGTAAATACTAATAATATTATATTATAGTCCTTTTCTCGGGTGTTGTGAGGGGAGTACAAGCCTGTGCTTTGCAGATACCGTTTTGTAATCCTTGGATAATCACTTTTTTCCTGGTATATACTCGTGCTTAACATAAAAGTACGGCTATAATTGCTATTTTTATTACGAGACGAAGAAAAAAAAAACAACCCCTCTCGGGTTTTTTTTTAACATAATCCCTCAATCGTTTATTATACTAAACAAACACACACAAAAAAAAAAAAAATTATAATAATAAAAACTTCTCATTTATATTATATTATAACATTTGTATCAATATTTATTTTTTTTCGTCCGTTCGAAATACAGAATATATTCCCTATTCATTTTCATGAATAATTTAGGTGCTTGCATGGGTAGGTAAAGAACTAGACAGTTAAACGATTCCGGAATGCGTCTGTCTACGTCGTTTTCGTTTCGCAATAATATAATATATTATTATTACCATCGTCGATATTATTAGCTACAGACTGCACGCGATCGAATCGTTTATATAGAAGTATCGGGTATATAGAAATCGAAAAATGGTTTGTTTGTTTTTTTTTTTCTTCTATACTCTTAAATGTATAATAATACACGTTTGTCGTGCGCCACATCTTTATCTCGAATAATATCATCCTGGGCTTTTAACAATAAAAGATTCCGGACAATTATTATTATTATTATTATTATTCGCTCTTTTCCGTCTCTTGTCGGTTTGTATAAATACACACGCGAGTATTGTATTGAACAGCGGCTTATATATTTACACGAGAAACGACAGCTGAAGGTATTTCGCACAGCACTTAAGCGTATACAAAAATGGGGAACGAAGAAAAAAAAAAAATAATAATAATATGAATCGTGTTCCGCCGCCGAAGCAGCAATATCAAAGGCCGCGCATAACACACTGCGTTTACGTTTCGCTGCGGTGTGTACTCGGCTTTTTATAAAATATAATATTATCATGTTTTCACATGACGGTATCGGCGATCGTACCATCGATTTTCGCAACGTCGAACTAATATTGGTCTATGGTATTCTCACGCGACTATATGGTACGCTCGTTTCGGCTACGGATAACAAATTACGAGAGTGAAATTTGACGTATAGAAAAAAAAAAAAATGTATACGTACATAATGTTAGTAATATTATAATTCCGCGGAGCAAAAGAAAAAAGAAAACTATAAAAAATATCCAATAGTATAATGATAATATTTTTAATAAAGGTTTCTCCTATACGCGCGGCGGTTCGTCTCGACCCGGGCCGTATATAGTCGACAGCAGCCGAGGAGACCGCAGTCATGGAATACCTGATATATTATTACGACGAATTTTCCAAAGAAAAAAAAAAAATCGTTAATCATACTCGCACGACCGACAACCGCGTTATTATTAATAGTATTATTATTATTATATATTATGTACACGAGAATTTTTCAAATAATTCCGGTGTCGTCGAAATAAAAAAAAAAATGGACAAATATTTGACGTTACCGGGGCCTGTACTTGTACAGGATGATTTTTTTTTTCTATTGCGAATATTTTGAGTAAATTTTGATTTTGCGTTTTATCGCTCAAAGTTGTGGTGGATTTTTTTTTTTTTACTCATGAGGAAAATACATTTCGGGACACCCACCAATTAAAAAACAAAAATCGCATAGGGTCTACGGAGCTGAACACTAGCTTTTATATTTCGCATAGATAAAACGACACAAGAGTTTCCCTTGCGAAATGAAAAAACCAGTTTGGTAAATCGTGAATAATTTGTTTTGTCACCACGGGTATTTTTTCGTTTAAACAGTTTTAAAAATTCTTACACGCTATACATTACAAATCTTTATAACTTCTTAAATTTCGTATCACACACTTCTAATTTGGAACTACAAGATTCGTGTCACTGTTCACTACAAGCGTCTTCCTAAAGTATAATACTAACACCCACTATATTATTTAAAAGTTTATGTGCTGCTCTACAAAGGCAATTCTCTAAGTATTGATGTTTATGTCTTATGTGTACAACTATATACCGATCAAATATCGTACAGTCACACAGGATCATCTGGATCGATTATTTTAATTTCTTCGAAGAATTATTTTTACAGATGAGTTATAGAAACAGTTTATTTGATATATTACAGAAAATCATAGAAATCATAATCCATTCAAACTACTCACTCACCCACTCACTGAAAGAAATTCAAAGGCATGGCTTACTAAAAATCCCTTCACCGGCTTTTCTCATTCGGGCGTTATACAGAATCGCTTAGCGTGACGTTTATTTCGCATTTGCGTACCATACATAAACTTGCGTATCAAATTTCGAAATTGAAAAATTGAGACCCACGTGTTTTTAACTCTGATTCTGACCGAATCGTAAACATTAACGCGATAACCTTTAAAGATAATATATAATACTAGGCGATGCTCCAAACTCAATAGGTTTTTTTCTGTATTTTAAACGTACGATGATTACATTTTCGATTCGTTCTACACGATGTTTACTAAGAATCTCAGAAAAGATGTCGAAATCGCTTCCGGACGACAAAATCATCATCCGCAACACACAGGAATAAATGTACGATTGAATTTTAAATTGTTTTTATTTATCTGTGTGCCCCCGGTCACACGGGATAGGGGAGGTGCACGCGACCGACTTTGGGCACGATGCGGTTGTCGAAGCCGAGCGATACAGTGAGAGAGAGTCGTCCGGCGGCCGTCCTCGTCGTGATTATTATTATTATTTTTTTTTTTTTCCGGCGCACAATGCGCGCGTATTATTATTAAATGCCAAAACTCGAATTTTATTTTCGTTTACAGCACCTCCCCTCGGATCGCGACCATTGTACGTTACACACACAAGGCGCGCACGCGCACGCGCTAGCGCACAAACGACACCCCGATAGAATTCCAAAGAGGAAGGGGGCGGCGGTAATTTATGTGCGGCGGCGATTATCTGCACCGGGTCGAGTGTTTTGCAGTTTTGCGCGCACCGACAACAACAATAATAATAATAATAATAATAATAATAATAATAATAATATATATATATATAAATAACGCGCTCGGACGCTTTTGTGCGGTGCGCGAATATTCTATTCGTATTTTATTTATTATTATTATCGCACTCCGCGTTTATATATAAATATATACGTGTATATTTGTATATTGCGTATTGTGTTGTTATTATTATCGTCGTCCGAGTCTCACGCGTATACACACAGCACAACAATTGTCGTCGTCGACCCGCCGCCGCCGCGGGACGGACAAAAGCCGACGCTTTCTGGGGCCTTTTTGCCCGCGGGATTGCGTGTACACACACACACACGGGGACATTGTTGCAGGGCTCCGCGGCGGCGCCGGGGCCTGAACGGTGGCCGGGTGAGGGATCTGTCGCGCGTAAATTTCACCGGACTCCGGATTACACCATTGTGTACAGTACGTATTTTATGAATATATATATATATATATATATTTTTTATTATTTTTTTTGGTTTTTTCGAAAACTACGAAATAAAAAGTCGTGACACTTTCCGCCGTCGCGTTACTATACATGATTATCATTTAACAGTACACCGACACCGTTGGACGCGGAGTGTACCGCCGCGGGGATACGCAGTGCTCATTATTCGAACTCCCGGTTTCCTTTTTCGAAAACGTGAATAAATACACGATTTCCCTAAGCGAAAGTAGTATACAAACACTTATTATAATGTTAAAATATTATCCCGACCGGTTTTTAAATATCCTGTAAATTCTAATGCGATTGCAGTGTACACCACGATTGCTAATTTTCGACGTGTTCGCCACACTAAGTATTCTAAATTCAGATCACGCGATAATTCGGTTTTTATTTTTTTTAATTAGTGGTGGTTCAAATAGTATCGCATACGTTCGTCCGATTGACGGCAAGTGTATAGTACGAAATTGCCGAATAAACAATACACATTTCATATTATTCAGCAGTATCATTTTCGGAGGATGAAAGTGTCTACTACTAGCCTTATTGTTTGTAGCCGGTAATTTAATTCACATGTGACTTTGGGTCTGGGGAAAATAGTATCGAAGAGTATTCCATAGCATTTATACCTTTTATCCGTGAAGAATTCGCGGTAAGATGTTCGACTATCCTATTTCTCGACCGATTTACGCCGCTGACATCAGTATGACATGTTGATGGTTTTTTTACAAAAATACATCTCATCGAGAAAAAGCCGTTATCCGTAGAATATAGATTGATATAAATAACTTATTAACACGATCATAAAAATAGTGATTAAAAGTAAGATTCTTTCAAAAATTTCTGGTTATTTGGACATAATCTTAAAAAAAACTGACGTGATTTTAGTTATGAAACTTTGAATTTAGATCCTTATAAAAAAACAAAAAAAAACAAGAACAAAAACCAAATTACTTTTTTGAAAACCGAATATATTTACAGATTACAATGGGTTTTAATTTTCATATTTTGTGTTTAAGAAGCTACAATATATTAACGTTCGAATAATTCAGTATTATATATTATTTAAAAAATGTATAAATATCGCGGTACGCTGCCCAGCCAAAGTGAAAGGCAGTAACCGACAATTTTTCATAAATTAGATTATTGTATACAATTTTTATTAATATTATTAATGTTATGATTTTGGAAAAAGAAAATTATCCCAAACGATTTCTGTAGTAAATAACTAAAAATAATGATGAAAACATTCTTAAGTAATATTTGTAACAAGCAAAGAAGTTCAAAAATAAGAAAAACCCATTTTCCCAACATTTAAAGTTTTGTAGATATTGTGTTTCAATACAGCAGGACAATACGGCTAATAAATATTTTAGGGAGATATTAAATCGACTAATTTATTATCGTTCGGATCACTGGTACGTTTAGCGAATACAGGTTGTTCTGAAGTTCCATGAAGAGTACAATTTTTTAAAAATGTCAGGAAAGTATTGTGAAATATTTCATTAAGCTTAGAATTACGACATCTTTTGCAATTTAAAACTCAAATAGTGACTACAGCAGACATTTGCTCAGGGCGCCCAACGGTCCCGAACTGCCCGTAAATTATTGAAAACCGTTAACAACTACAATTAACAATGATCTTAACAAATATTTAGATAATTTGTCATTGTTGACATTATAAATATTTGTTTATTAATAATTATACTAAAATATAACCGAACCAAGAAATAATAATAATTAAAAAAAATGTATACATATTTTACAATAATTTATACGCATAACCCTAGACACAGGTATGATAAAAATAACTTGTAGAGCATGCAAACAGGTTACAAAAAAAAAAAAAAACCATAGCTATAATATTTTTTACGATACAAGCGAAAAGCTTACTCGTGGCGTTGGTTTCTGTTTTTGAACGGTTATAATTATTTATCCATTATTATACACGTCATATCGTATAATAATATGTACAATTCTACTTTTTGCGATTTTTCGTTTAACGTGTTACTCGCATTTTCTCGGTCTGTTTTTTTTTTTTTTTTTTTAACAATACTGACAATAAAACGTTATATTTTACGTATAATTATATACGTATGTACTATATGTACTTGTAACAATTTTTATTTTTAACAAATTGTAATTTCTCAAGTTTTTTTTTACGCTTTAAAGATGTCTTTTTTTATAGTTTTCAAACGACAAACTCGACTTTATCGTTCTTTATTTACGAATTCACTGTAAAACATATTTTTTTATGATTACGGTCATACATATTCTACCAAAGTTATATGATCTCCTTTTTATATTAATTGTAGATGAACGTTGAATTGATATGCATATTCATTATTCAGCTATTATCTTCTCTAAACTCCAAACGTTCTGTGAAAACGTTTAAAATTCTTAATTCTTAGCTTTCAATTAAAATGTTTACACTATATAACTGAACACTTTCTGAATTTTCTTTTAGATTTCTCTGCATTTTTGAATTTGGACACAGACGGAGTTACGGGATATTATTCAAACCATCTATATAGTGTCTGTATTTTGTTTTTAATTGGGAAAATTTTATTTTTCATTTATTACATTTATAATTTATGTTTACATGAACACCTAGTCAAATTAAAAGAAACGAAAAAATGAAAATTCTCTATTGTTATTCCATGCATTGTCATTTCGTAAACATAATGAGCTAATACCAGGTAGGTAAGTTCAATGAATATTGCGCATAGTTGCTACTTTTTATTTCCACCGTCGTGCATTTAGTCTAAATGTAACTTCACATATAAAATACTAAAATGATAACTGTACAAATATATACGTGAGATGCTGAATTACTGCAATTCAAACATTTAGACCACAATAAGAAGACTTTGATAATTTATTCAAGTTTTATAATCGCTGTATTTATTTATTTATTATACAGACTGAAATAAATTAAATCACTATATTTATTTATCTCAATAACGAAATCGATCTTTAAAATAAATCTCCTGGATATTATTATAACATCGTGAAACTAAAATCCAGCTCTACCTATTGATATGGCAACATAATAATTACATCTGAAAAAAACGTCTATAAATCGATCCTGAGGCCCTGTTTTTGACCTATAACTTTATCTATATTTAAGAACTCCGCGGTCATTAAAGCATTCGTAATGGGCAAAAAAAAAAAAAAAAACACGTTGTGGCGAAGATATAACTGGAATATACCAAAGAGTCGAAACCAAGTGTGTTGTAAATTCTAGTTAAAAAACAGTACACGTTTTTCGCGTCGAACGTTCTGGACGTATATAATATTTTAGGTATACTATACTCGTAGCAGTATATATATATACAATAATGATTCACAGTCTGTCGAGCAACTCAATTCTTCCCGGTTTATGTCCGGCTTTCAAAAGCATTCGATAGAAAATTTCGAATATTATCCGACATGCGCGCGTGTATAATTTTCGAATTCGATATTTCCCCGCCAGTAGGTTATTATCGAATGAAATCTAAAACACACATACCCCTTACAATATAAGTTCGACGCCGAACACCGACGAAACTAATGAGTATTCGAGTACTTGAGTACCTACTTGCATAGACAATTGTACTATACGAACTGATTAAGTATACTTGCGTAGCAAATTTTTATTCTCGGTCGAACTTCGTATTCATCCGTTAACACTATCACAATTTTTATCGAACTACACTTTTTTGTTCTTGCTGTACGTTGGATTTTTTTCGTAATGAAAATATCTCTAAATATTCGCATTATGACGTAGAATTATATTTACCTCCGAACTGTTGTCGCGTCCTACGCAAGTAGATTCCGCGTGCTATTTCGGTTTATGAGTCACGAAGTGTATTATTATTTCAGTACTTACAGTTGGGGTGAATGAAATAATCATATGCAAAATGCACATTAAATTTTCGCGATATCGTTATAATATCGTAGGCATATACTTTTATAATGCGCGTATAATATTATCCGGCCGTTTGGAATTTAAAATAATAATGTTAGGTTTTCGAGCTATATCGATTCGGGTGCATATATAAGTATATTACGAAATCAAAAAACCAGTACTCAACGCAAAAAAAAAAATTTTAAATAAAACTCAAACGAAAATTTCCAAAGTAAACAAAAAAAAAACCGACCACCCGTGCAACGTATATCATTATGATATTATGATATTGTGATTAAAATACACTGTCATTTTTAAAATACATAGAATCGAATATATTGTTGATAAAAATAGAGTCCGTATTTAAATGAAAAACCCCTTTTCTTTTGTGTGTGTGTGTGTGTGTGTGTATATATGTACTAAGACAATGCATTTCAAGTAAGCATTTTATAAACCTAAGTGTTACCTTTATTTAGGGTTTTCCATTGTTTTCCATTTATAGAGAGTTTTTCCGTTATATGCGTTAATAGTTTCTACAAAGTAAACAAAGTTTTTAATGTAAAATTAGTATTTCAAAATACTATTTCAATAGAAATACTGATTTCGTAATATTTGTGTTCATAGGTTTCTGTGTCTTTATTCTTTATTCGTATAGGTACCAATAAAACATCGTAAATAATTTACGATTTATTAACATTTTCCACCGTTTTATTCATTTTGGGGTCATCTTTTTATAGGTATTGTACACAAAAGGCCTTTTTTTCGGTAATTTTCAGAACAACTGTAATGTACACTCGCTGACGGTTTACACAAGCACTCTGCACTGTCCGGTTTTTTCGAACATTCTTAATTCAGGATACACAGTGGTCCGATCCGATTTCGTTTAAATTACGATTTGTTAACAATGTTATTGTTTAACATTGGTCCGTCTTATGTATACAAAACGTATCATATTTTTGGTTTTTCACACCATTTAAAAATAGCACCAGTCTAGTTTTATATTTGTATATTTTAACAAGGAACGATGTTTTCTTATACAGTTTTTCACCTAACAGCATTTGTGTTCGTGTACACTTTTTGGCTACTATACCAATTTCCATACCCCGCAGATAAAACGAAATCTATATGAAAATATATTCAGTATTACAATCTAATCTACACGAGTCTAAAAAAAAAAAAAAAACGATACCTTCAGTTTTTAAGAAAGGGACACTGCTAAAAACGGTGTTGGAAAATACTCCGCATAAGGAAATACCCCTAAGACTAAATCAGGAAGACAGGGCAAAAGAATGTATCAACAAAGTGAAGACCGAAAAGAGACTTAAGAGATAAAGAAAACTGGAGGCGAATATGCTAGACGATATGGCCTTAAAGGCCGTAGTAATGAAAATGATAAAAACAAAAGACTGTGTATAACTGTATGATTATGTATGTATATGACTGTATATAAGACTGTGATTATAAATTTGATAGGTGCTTACATGTAAGTATTTTGTATTTTAATTTGATAACAATTACAATCAACGCTATATTATGATAATAATTCGACAATTATATTCCGCTTTACATTGTTACACCACGTGTACTCGTGGAATGTGATATTACTGACCACATGTGATGTATACAAATCCCAGAGTAGCCGGACGGAGAACGCTATTAAGTAATTAGTCGTAATTTCTTTTGGCTGGTGTGGTCCGGTCTTTAAAAAAAAAAAAAAAAACGGACCACGGAAACCTGTAGTTTACACAGACGAGTCTTCGTTGTTTGACTAACAGCCGACACGATTTACCGTTTTCACCCTTTACGGTCATAATAACCGCCATCGGCCGTGACGCAATTATTCAGCCGGGTAAATATCTCTCTCCACGAAATCACCATCATCCGTATTTTCGAGAAATCTTCCCCCTCAAACCGCGATCGAGTCGTTATAAATAATAACACGATTCGTGTCTATAATATAATACCATATAAATCGACTTGCGATGATTAAACGTAAATAAAGCGTTGAATGAACGAGGGACTTATTCATGAATCGCAGTTATTTGCGCTGCAGTTGTGAAATCAGCACTCGCGACTATCCATAGCTTTATTCAAACGAATTCATTATTTCACCTGTTTTCGAAAATCAGTCGGCTTTTTTTTCATTTTCGAGTACGGCACGAAAAAATCTGAGTAAAAAAATGTTTAACCATCTTTTTCTTCTTTTTTTTCTTCGTTACACTCGGAGTCTAAATGATTATAATACCGTGTTAGACGTTTGTTCCGATGAGTGAAACAAAAAAGGAAATGGTATGTATATTTATTTTGTTCCTGAAATAAAACCCAAAATATAACAAACGAGTGAAACTCATGGGAATTCAAATGAAAACGAAAAGACGAGATAACCGGACATACTGCTACGACGACGCGCTGCCGCTATAGTGTTCGTGATAATATATAAAAATAACAAAAAAAAAAAAAAAAAAAAAAAAAATGTAAAAAAAAGGATAATAATAAAAACAAGATTAAAAAAAAAAACCGTAACGCTTGTAATAAGATTATTTCGTATAAACTCATACAATATTATTATGAAAGCTTGAACCTAAAAGGCTATAATATAAAAATGTATATAAAAAACGTTTTACAAAAATGTTTTCACGCTCGTTGGGTGATACGACAATAATATTATAATTTATTATTACGTAGGTCGGAGGTATACTACGTTTTACATTTCGTT